CACACACACACACACACACACACACACACACACAGAGAGAGAGAGAGAGAGAGAGAGAGAGAGAGAGAGAAACCCTGCTTACTGCTTGGTGTTGACTGGTTTCCTTTTGGTTGCTATGTATGGACAGGTTACTCGCGATTTGTGAAGACATTTATGCGGCAAGGGCAGAAGGAGAACTTGAACTTGAAGAGCAGCTATTTTGGACGTTAATTAAGATATACAGATCTCCCCACATACTGACAGAATATACTAAAGGTGACAAAAATTATTAAGGTTTTAATTTTTAAATTTATTCAATTTGTTTTTTCTTGCTTTTCTGTTTTGTTTTTTTTCAGTGTTTTGCCGATTATCATGTCCCTATATATAGTCGCTCAAGTTTAGTTTGTTGAACTTTATTGCTTTTTCCATTTGCAAGCATCCCAGTATATCTTGCGCCCGGGTGCTGTTATCTCGATGATGACATGCCGTGTTTTTTTTTTAAGCCTTCGTTTTTTTTTTTTGCCTTTCGTTGTTTTTTTTTTGCCTTTCGTTTTTTTTTTTTGCCTTTCGTTTTTTTTTTTTTTGCCTTTCGTTTTTCCCCAGTCGGTCATTTCTTCACTACTCTGTTCCTCATCTTAGCAGTAGTTGCACCAGCACAACAGTTGTTGTTGTTTTTTCTTCTCCTTTTTTTTTTTTCTCGTTATGCTCATCATCCATTTAGCACCATCCCATCCCAGGCAGCTAACGTGCCAAACGTGCCGGTGTTTTTTTCACTGTAGGAGTGCAGTGCCACTACTTCAGCTTCCCCTTCTCCCCAAACCCCTCTCTCTCCGCCTCCCCCTCCCCCTCCTCCTCCTCCTCCTCCTCCTCCTCCTGCTCTGCTGCTGCTGCTGCTGTATGCGTGAGTACTTTTCTCTATTTCCTTTTCCGCATTCTGTTTGTATAGATGAGAAAGAGAAATCTTGTTTTGTTCGGCGTCGGTATTTCGTTTTTTCTTGTGTATTTCCAAGTTTATTTACAAGTGTGAGTTGCGCATTAGACTCTCGGTGGGTCATGTCGTGAATTAGACATAGATCCGTTATCGTGCGAGCATATCCCAAGGGATGGGGATGGCTTGGACGCCTCAAGTTCTCGGTAGGTGGCCTCAAGTTCTAGATAGGGTGTATTTTTTTGCCAGGTTGTGTCTGGCACGCATCGTTACATGGTGTTTCTAAGGCCGTACTCACTCAAGCTCTATCCTAAAAATGTATCTGACCGCATTTATGGCCAGACATGGATGTATCTGACCGCAATTACATCCAGAAATAAGTTAAGAAGTCATAGCGTGAGTATGCCCTAAGTAAGCAGGGCTTTGTTGCCAAAACTTCAGGCCGGAACTCGATATTGAATCATTTGTTTGTAGGTAGCATTCGACGATTGCAGTTAGTTAACGCTTTTTGAACTTTAAATGCTTTTATTATTATTATTATTATTATTATTATTATTATTATAATATTATAGGTGTGACAAACCGCGCGGAATTAGCGTTTACTGCAGTTGTCGCAAGACGCAAGAATCGGCAGCGCGTAGCGACCGGTCTGCTGATGAGCTAACTACCGGTAGCACCAACAACAATATTACTCAGTGTGACAAGTGGCAGAGGTTCATTGAATGGGGGATTTCAGTTCCAGCATCTGCAATTGGGCACTGATGCCAAATTGGGCATTGATTCCAAATCATTGATTCGAAATTGGGCATTGAGTGCTTCGATGACAGATCAGTGGCCAAATTGGGCACTGAGGGCTTGGAGAGGTGTCAGATCAGTGGCTAAATTGGGCTTGGAATAGTGGCAAATCTGTGGCCGAATTGGGCAGCTCAGTGACCGAGTATTTAGCAACACACATCCCCATCGTACTCCTTATGGGTGCATGAATTGTACCGGCGCAAAAGCTGTCGTCATGAAGCACCCACCCCTCCTAAGTGTCTCAAGAAATCAGCTCAGCACAGAAGATACTATCCTTGAGGATGTACGAAGGTTGGTTGGATGCGCTGTCATGTTTACAGCTGCAAGAAAAGCGTTACGGTGCAGATTTGCAAAAGCCTTACATGTCAACGTGGCCGCTGCAGCGCCGCCTCAGTTGTGTGAATGCAGTGCAGAACAAGGTATGTGGACATGGCGGTGCAGGAGGTATCTGGACATGGCGGTGCAGGAGGTGGTATCTGGACATGGTGGTGCAGAAGGATGTATCTGGACATGGCGGTGCAGAAAGATGTGTCTGGTCACAGCAGTGCAGAAGGATGTATCTGAACATAGCGGTGCAGAAGGACGTATCTGGACATAGTGGTGCAGAAGGACGTATGTGGACATAGCATAGTGGTGTGGAAGGACGTATGTGGACATAGCAGTGCAGAAGGACGTATCTGGACATAGTAGCTGCAGAAGGACGTATCTGGACATGGCTGTGCAGGAGGACGTATCTGTTCATGGCTGTGCAGGAGGACGCATCTGGACATGGCGGCATAGAAGAAGGTATCTGGACATGGTGATAGACTGATAGTGCAGAAGAAGGTATCGGGACACCGGGATTGCAACAAGTAATACTAAAGCGTCAACTGTGATACTGCGGATTCGCTTTCCCAGAGTGACTTGGATGATTTGATAAATAGATCCGGACTCCAGAGATTGAATGTGTGCTAAGGTGGTGGCAACATTAGGCATTGTCGGCGATGTAGAATCGTAGATGATCAGACATCAACAGTTCTGCATCCCTCGCTCAGATGGGATTATTATTGAAAATAGGTGCCTGGTCGGCTCGGTGGAACGTTAACTGCAGCTTTTTGCTTGAGAGATGCCCCTCCCTCCTGTCTATCTGGCAGATCTGCAGATATCAACCTGTATGTAAGTTATGCCCTCGCAATCCTAGCCATCAATCTGTTCATTATGACATGATCTATGGCTCTAGATATGTCCCTCTGGTTTAGGATTTAGAAGGGGTCTAGTCTACTGTTTAGAAGGGGTCTAGTTTACTGTTAGAACGCTGTATGTAGATGAGGCTGTTACGATGAGAATTCAATGGTCTCCTTGGTTTATCTGATGACAAATTGCTTTACTTCATTTTGCGGTCTCCTTCGTTCATGTCATGCCAATTACGCTTTTTTACTTCATTTTGCTACTGCGTGTGAAGTGTTCAGCTCCAACCCTAGTTCCGGCGTCATCATACAGTGTAGCAGCATTGCAAACACTCGACATCTTGCTGTCCCTTTTGCCGCTTTGTCATTCAGTCTCTATTTCTTCTTATTTTTGGTGTTCCGAATTACGCAGTGTTCTTACTCCCAGAGTCCAGCGTTAGACCCAGAGTTAGACCCAGAATTAGACCTAGAGTTAGACCAGACCCATAGTTAGACCAGACGCAGAGTTAGACCCAGAGTTAGACCCAGAGTTAGACCCAGAGTTAGACCCGGAGTTAGAGTTAACTCCGGAGTTAGACCCGGAGTTAGACCCAGACCCAGAGTTAGACCCAGAGTTAGACCCAGAGTTAGACCCAGAGTTAGACCCAGAGTTAGACCCAGACCGAGAGTTAGACCCAGACCCAGAGTTAGACCCAGAGTTAAAGCAAGGGGTAGGAGTAGACCCAGAGTTATACCAAGAGTAGTTAGACTCAGTTAGACCAAGAGTTAGACCAAGAGTTACTCCCAGAGCTAGGTCCTCATGGTAATGGGAGGTTCTTCTCCCACGCCCTCCAGTATACCATCGCCGAACCGGTGAGCTCATTCATTGGCCTCCCATAATCCAGATCCTGAACAGTCGTGCAGGGCAGCTTGGGCCAGTACGTTTCATTGCATGGCAGGCTGGCCGACCATGGGCCTTGCTCCACTGCATGACATTTTAAATGTATCTGGAGCTGGTAGTTGTCCCAGTAAGTTTAAAATGTTTGATCGGTCCGAGTGTATCCATTCCAGAGCACAATTCAGGTACGCGCAGCATGTTATGTAGTAGATCGAGGGCCCATTTGTCACTGGTTGGGAGATGGCTCAGCATGTCTAGTGATCAGGTATGACATACCAGCCTGTGAAGTTGGCAGGTCGGAGTGGACAGCCGGTTGACTTGTCATACAGTTGTTGGGGTTTGGGGTTGGTTTGGTAGTGCGGCTAGTGCCTGTCATAACCGTTCGGCGTTCACTCAACAAATCAATCACATAGTCTCCTACCAGCCCGCTGTTCTCGAGTCAATAGTAGCATTTATCACATTGTCTCCTGTGAGATCGCTGCGCTCAAGCTCATAGTACCACGCGCCCAGTAAATCTACCGCTTAGTCTCCTGTAAGGTGAGGTTGTGCACAAACCGACAGTGGCATCCACCCAGTGGATCTATCACTCAGTCTCCTCTGAGATTGCTATGCTTGAGCCAATAGTAGTGTTCGCCCAGTGTCTATAACATAGTCTCCTGCGAGGTCACTGTGCTCGGGGCCAAGAGTAGCATTCACATAGTAAACCCATGACATAGTCGTCGCATTCACCCAGTAGTCTATCACATAGTCTTCTGCGACGCCACTGTGCTTGAGCCGATATCGCGCTCACCAGTACGTCTATGCACAAATCGACAGTGGCATCCACCCAGTAGATCTATCACTCAGTTTCCTCTGAGATTGCTGTGCATGAGCCAATAGTAGCGTTCGCCCAGTACGTCTATAACATAGTCTCCTGCGAGGTCACTGTGCCCGGGCTCAGTCTCCTCTGAGATTGCTGTGCATGAGCCAATCGTAACGTTCGCCCAGTACGTCTATAACATAGTCTCCTGCGAGGTCACTGTGCTCGGGCTGAGAGTAGCATTCACATAGTAAATCCATGACAAAGTCGTAGCATTCACCCAGTAGTCTATCACATAGTCTTCTGCGACGTCACTGTGCTTGAGCCGATATAGCGCTCACCCAGTACGTCTATCACATAGTCTCCTGCGACGTCATTGTGCCCGAGAGGACAGTAGCATTCGCATTGAGCCGATATACCGTTCACCCAGTACGTCTATCACATAGTCTCCCGCGACGTCACTGTGCTCGAGCCGACAGTACCACTCCCATTGTAAATCTATGACATTGTCTTAGCATTCATCCATTAAGTCTATCACATAGTCTACCGCAGGGCCATTCACATAGTAAATCTATGATGTAGTCTTAGGATTCACCCGGTAGGTTTATCACATGGGCCATTCACATAGTGAATCTATGATGTAGTCTTAGGATTCCCCCGGTAGGTTTATCACATAGACTCCTGCAAGGTGACTATGCTCGAGCCGGAAGTAACATTCACATAGTAAATTTGTGACATAGTCTTAGCATCCATGGAGTAGGTCTATAGCATAGTCTCCTGTGAGGTCACAAAGTCCGGGCCGGCAGTGGCATTCTATGACATCGTCTTAGCGTTCACCTAGGAAGTCTATCACTTAGTCTCCTCCAGGGTCACTGTGCTCCAGCCGACAGTAGCATTCGCATAGTAAATCTATTATGAGATGACATACACTCCTGTGAGGCAGCTGTGCTCGAGCCGACAGTCACTCGTTCACAGTCAGGATGCTCTGTGCATCACCATCGACTCGTTCAAATTTTGAATCATGTACACATCACAGTACGAAAGATGTATTGGGCTTTACTATCGCAGAGAATACATCTTCCAATGAGTCGTATGTACCCCATACGACCATCATCCTTCTGCCTCACCTAGGTTGGCTATAATCAGGGCGATTGCATGCGACTGTGCGCTGCAGTGTGGCTATAGATGGTCAGGATACTATTCTCCTTCCCGCAGGCATTCCAGAGAAGGAATTCAGAAGATAGTATTTACTATTTCCGAGTATTTCGTCCTTTTCCTTTTTTCTTCCTTTTTTTTTTTTTTTTTTTTTATTAACAGGGCCTTGTGGTCCTGGCTCCTTCTATTCTGGGGAGCGTCAGTCCGGATTTCGGAAATTTCTCCATTTGATAGAGGCTGCGAAGAACGAAGATGAGATTTTTCTTGTTGGTTTAGGGTTTGTTTGGAGATATCTATCGGAGATTTTTTTTTTTGGAGGGGAGAGCAGAGTAGTAAGTAGGATGGAGAGTTGTCGTAGTGCCTTTTCTGTTCCCTTTTTTTTTTTTTTTTTTTNTCCTGGTTAAGAAAAATTAACAAAAAATAATAATGAAAAAACAAAAATAAAAATAAAAACTAAAAAATTTTTAAAAAAATCGGGATGCTCTGGAAGATTTTCATCGTAAAATTAAATAGATAAACAAATACATGAGAGTCATGATGAGACCAGAATAAATAATATACCAACAGGCTTATTAGCTCCGTTGGTACAACCTTTCTTTTTTCCCTTTTTTTTTTTTTTTTTTTTTTTTTAAGTTGGTAATTTGGTAGTGTCTCTTTTGTCTGTTTTGTGGGGTTGGAAGTTGGGAATCGATTTGCATTGCGGCCAATGCGTGAGCAGAAAGAGAGGTGAGAAGGGTGAGATGCGTGAAGCACCTTTGCTCATGAACTTGAGGACCATGTGTTTTCTTTGATGTGGAATGCCTCGCGTAAGGTGTTTTCGATTTTTTTTTTTTTTTTTTTTTTTGAAGTCTGAAGCAGTTTGGGGAAGTTTGTCTTCCGGATAGGGTTTTCAAACCTTTGTCAATTTCTGAGAATTGGGAAGAGTCCTTTTCTCTTGGAGCTATTTACAGAAGAGAGAGTCGGGGAAAGTGAACGGCAAAAAGGCTGACGGGAGCAAAAGAGGAGGGGAGAGAGTGAAAAAGGGAGACCGAGAGAGAATGAGTAGGAAAACAAAATGCCATTGTTTTACAGGGACATGGAACTGGTGGTGGAAAATGGGAAAGGAAAGCTTCTTTCTTATCTTCTTTCCCACTCTACGTTTGCAGCGCAATGATCCAACCGGCATGAAAGGTCTGTTTACTGAATTTTCGAGTTGGATTTTCTCTCTTGTTACATCATACGTGGAGAAATTGTATGTGTATTTGTGAGGACAACTTTGCTGTGTAGTAGTGCTTGTATACATTGTCGTCACGGAGAAAAGTTGATACGGTTGTGTAGTTGACTATTTATGTGTATTGCGGTGAGGACTTCTTTGCGCCGTAAAATTGCTTGTATAGTATATACATTATCGTCGTGGAGAAAAGCTGATCGGTTGTGTATTGAACTATTTGTGGCAACTTTGACAACTGACTGATCCGTCTAAAGCCCGACGGTTCCTGTTTTTTTTTTCCCTTGTTTAAAGGCCGATTGTTTTTTTTTTTCCCCTTGTTTAAAGGCCGATTGTTACTCAACTGACTGGTCCGTCTAAAGCCCGACGGTTCCTGTAGGTTTCAGTGACAACGAGTTTTATAGCAAGTGTTGTGTTCTATATGATATTGTTGTCACTACTTGTTAACCTTTGTCTTCTCTGGAGGATGGTTGTGCCATGCAGGAGACATACGAGAAGTTATTAAGTATCATCGCCTGACAGAAAGGGGTGATAGGGTGATGGGGTGCTAGGGAAGGGGCGAAGGATTGTGTCGTGGAAGATCGTGGCCAAGTCGAGTAGATACGGAAGCATTGATTGTCCATGGCAAGCTGCCCAGTACCAGAATATTGTTGTGTCGTGGGGTTTGTGAGAATGAGGTGGGGTTCATGAACATGTGGTCATCGCAGAAGGTGAGGGAAAGGAAGAGGGA